CACACACACACACACACACACACACACACACACACACACACACACACACACAAATAGGTGAGCACATAGGTCATCGCAGCAGAGTGGACAGCGCTCTGGGGTCGTAGTTCTGCGGGCCCGGGTTCGATTCCCCGTCGAAACAGAAACACATAGGCAAGAGTTTCTTTCACCTGACGCCTCTTTTCACCTAGCAGCAAAGATGTACCTGAATTAAACAGCTGCTACGGTCTGTATCCTGTGGACAGTGAAAATGAACTTACAAACCCACAAAAAATGGCAGCTAACAGAATCATGAACCCTACAGCAACTCCCCCATTAAACCCCCCTTCCCCACCCCACAGAAACTTCCCCATTAAACCCCCCTTCCCCACCCCACAGCAACCCCCCCCATTAAACCCCCCTTCCCCACCCCACAGCAACCCCCCATTAAACCCCCCTTCCCCACCCCACAGCAACCCCCCCATTAAACCCCCTCCCCCACCCCACAGCAACACCCCCATTAAACCCCCCTTCCCCACCCCACAGCAAACTCCCCCATTAAACCCCCCTCCCCCACCCCACAGAAACTTCCCCATTAAACCCCCCTTCCCCACCCCACAGCAACTCCCCCATTAAACCCCCCTTCCCCACACCACAGAAACCCCCCCATTAAACCCCCTCCCCCACCCCACAGCATCCCCCCCATTAAACCCCCCCCCCACCCCACAGCAACCCCCCATTAAACCCCCTCCCCCACCCCACAGCAACCGCCCCAAACCCCCTGCAGCCCCCCCCCCTCCTACACTCCCTCAATGATTTACAAGCATTTTACAACAGATGTTCAGGTGGGCCCTGAAGGACCATACATTTTTCATATATATATTTTTTTAAGCCCCTGTGGGGAAGCAGTTAGGTTTTACACATCATATATTTACTTCTTGCTGCTTTGTGAAAGCCAAGGAAAACGGGGGAGAGATATATACTTCGTCTGTGTAAAGGGAATATGTAGTTTTCTTATACATATGTAGGTGAGGTTGGGTTATGTTGGTATATGTGGCTTTGCTCTGGCTCGCTTTGGCACTGTAGCCCTAGCGTGGAGCTCCCCAGTACTGTAGCCCCAGTGTGTAGTCCCCAGTACAGTCCCCCCAGCGTGGAGCCCCCCTCCCCCCCTCCCAACCACGGGAATAGACTGAGAAAAAAATCTATCGTCTATAGCAAAGAAAAAGAAACATAAAATAGAACATTATTCACACATACGAAGTCCTCAGCGGGTGTTGATGAAACACAGACAGACAGACAATATTGATGTGGGCCATTAACCTAAGGCCAGCGCATGGTAGTTCCTACGGGCTCACCATAGCCCCGTGCTACTTGGAACTTTGTTCCAGGTAGCGAATCTTTAACAACAGCATGGTAGTTAAGACACGAAGGTGACAGGAAGCCAGCGTGTCATCAACAAGGGGACTACGCCCATCATCAATGTCGGCCGGAAAGGGGGTAAAATAGGGGGGTTTCATATCACTGATGCCATCAATGTCCCCAGAAGAAGGGGGGAGAGGGGGAGAGGGGGTGGAGAGGGGGGGGGGGGAGAGGGGGGAGAGGGGGGGAGGGGTGGCCCCCCCTTACGTCGTCAACAGGCAGCTTGATGGCCTGAAACAACCGTTGGGACTGCAATTAGAGATAGTGACAATTAAGCCCACTCCTGCAAGAGAAATAATAATAGCAGACTCTTTTTTTTAAACGGGAAGGGGGGAGGGGAGGAGGAATAGGGGGGCGGGAGGGGGAGGAGGAATAGGGTAGGGGGGGGGGTGTTGAGAGGGAGAGGAGAGAGAGTTGTGACGAGAAATGGTAACTGGAAGAGAGGATGTGTTGCAAAGAGTGCAACGGGAACGAGGGAAAGGAAATGCGAAAGGGGAGAGGAGAAAAGGGAGAGGAGAAAAGGGAGAGGAACGTTTATAATGAAGTAAAAGAGGATGGTGGAAAGGAAAGGATAGAGAAATACAGGAGGGAGGGAACTTTTGGATACGAGGGAAGAAACTGTATCACCACAGACTCTATCACCACAGACTCTATCACCACAGACTCTATCACCACAGACTCTATCACCACAGACTCTATCACCACAGACTCTATCACCACAGACTCTATCACCACAGACTCTATCACCACAGACTCTATCACCACAGACTCTATCACCACAGACTCTATCACCACAGACTCTATCACCACAGACTCTATCACCACAGACTCTATCACCACAGACTCTATCACCACAGACTCTATCACCACAGACTCTATCACCACAGACTCTATCACCACAGACTCTATCACCACAGACTCTATCACCACAGACTCTATCACCACAGACTCTATCACCACAGACTCTATCACCACAGACTCTATCACCACAGACTCTATCACCACAGACTCTATCACCACAGACTCTATCACCACAGACTCTATCACCACAGACTCTATCACCACAGACTCTATCACCACAGACTCTATCACCACAGACTCTATCACCACAGACTCTATCACCACAGACTCTATCACCACAGACTCTATCACCACAGACTCTATCACCACAGACTCTATCACCACAGACTCTATCACCACAGACTCTATCACCACAGACTCTATCACCACAGACTCTATCACCACAGACTCTATCACCACAGACTCTATCACCACAGACTCTATCACCACAGACTCTATCACCACAGACTCTATCACCACAGACTCTATCACCACAGACTCTATCACCACAGACTCTATCACCACAGACTCTATCACCACAGACTCTATCACCACAGACTCTATCACCACAGACTCTATCACCACAGACTCTATCACCACAGACTCTATCACCACAGACTCTATCACCACAGACTCTATCACCACAGACTCTATCACCACAGACTCTATCACCACAGACTCTATCACCACAGACTCTATCACCACAGACTCTATCACCACAGACTCTATCACCACAGACTCTATCACCACAGACTCTATCACCACAGACTCTATCACCACAGACTCTATCACCACAGACTCTATCACCACAGACTCTATCACCACAGACTCTATCACCACAGACTCTATCACCACAGACTCTATCACCACAGACTCTATCACCACAGACTCTATCACCACAGACTCTATCACCACAGACTCTATCACCACAGACTCTATCACCACAGACTCTATCACCACAGACTCTATCACCACAGACTCTATCACCACAGACTCTATCACCACAGACTCTATCACCACAGACTCTATCACCACAGACTCTATCACCACAGACTCTATCACCACAGACTCTATCACCACAGACTCTATCACCACAGACTCTATCACCACAGACTCTATCACCACAGACTCTATCACCACAGACTCTATCACCACAGACTCTATCACCACAGACTCTATCACCACAGACTCTATCACCACAGACTCTATCACCACAGACTCTATCACCACAGACTCTATCACCACAGACTCTATCACCACAGACTCTATCACCACAGACTCTATCACCACAGACTCTATCACCACAGACTCTATCACCACAGACTCTATCACCACAGACTCTATCACCACAGACTCTATCACCACAGACTCTATCACCACAGACTCTATCACCACAGACTCTATCACCACAGACTCTATCACCACAGACTCTATCACCACAGACTCTATCACCACAGACTCTATCACCACAGACTCTATCACCACAGACTCTATCACCACAGATTATCACCACAGACTCTATCACCACAGACTATCACCACATGTTGTCCTTAATTGACGTATCTTAACCTTAGTAAATTTTATCATAACCTTTTATCTTAATCTTAGTAAAATTTGACATTTTACAATAACCTGTCTTAAGCTAGCCTAACTTAACTTATTTAACAAAAACAAAGATTAGCTTTAAAAACTTTGGCGAATAAGATGCATTATTCCCGCCATGATGTCGAACAGCTAAAACAAATTTAAAGCATTAATGTTTCCCTGGAATAAAAGCTTCTGTTTACAATTAAAAGCTAAATGCCAATTACTGACTAATTGGCGACATTTAATTCAACTTACCAATAGGAATAAAATAGCTATCAGGATCAATTTACTCTATATATATATATATATATATATATATATATATATATATATATATATATATATATATATATATATATATATATATATATATATAAAACTACATATGTTTACCAATTTATCATTGGTAGTCGAACCCCCAGGAAATGGATCTGTTTCTGGCTTTTCGGGTTTGGAGGCCAGACAGTTAGGGCTAGTCTCACAAAACTTTGCGGGATTTGTGTTTCTATGAAGTGTTATGGAATGGTTTGGAGGGCGTGGAACAAGTCAGTTAGCATGCTTTCCTCGAATGGGGGGTCTCGGCCCCTATACACCCTTCACAAAGACATATGACATACATATATGTCATATATGGACATAAATGGTACCTTACGTCCGTAGACTTAAACGTTCGTTTAAATATTAGCGAGATGGGGACTTTTAGTACCACTGCTACTTTATTCACTCTTGTGTTGATGATATCCTCATAATGCACCCAGAGTCTGCCAGTGTAGACTACTGATCACATGCCTCTGTATGACTAACCATCCTGTGTGATGGGGATTTTTTAGCATCACGTAGCTAGCTTTTTGACACTGTACTCCCCTTCATATAGTCTAGGGTAGCTGCACAAACGCAGATGTACCTAATATATTAATAAAAAAAAATAAGTGTGTGTACTCACCAAGTTGTGCTTGCGGGGATTGAGCTCTGGCTCTTTGGTCCCGCCTCTCAACTGTCTATCAACTGGTGTACAGATTGTACAGATTCCTGAGCTTATTGGGCTCTATCATATCTACATTTGAAACTGTGTATGGAGTCAGCCTCCACCACATCCTAGTGCATTCCGTTTGTTAACTACTCTGACACTGAAAAACTGACACACTGACATATGTGCAAATACTGACTTGTAAACGATGCATTCTGATGAAGGGTTTGCTATCTGGCCCACGACTGCTGGTAATAGTGAGGATGCAAGATGGTGAGGGTGAGGGTAAGGGGAAGGGAACATTGGGTTGCATATGTGTGGGGGAGATATGGGGTTGCATATGTGTGGGGGAGATATGGGGTTGCATGTGTGTGGGGGAGATATGGGGTTGCATATGTGTGGGGGAGATATGGGGTTGCATGTGTGTGGGGGAGATAAGGGGTTGCAGATATGGGGTTGCATATGTGTGGGGGAGATATGGGGTTGCATATGTGTGGGGGAGATATGGGGTTGCATATGTGTGGGGGAGATATGGGGTTGCATATGTGTGGGGGAGATATGGGGTTGCATATGTGTGGGGGAGATATGGGGTTGCATGTGTGTGGGGGAGATATGGGGTTGCATATGTGTGGGGGAGATATGGGGTTGCATATGTGTGTGTGGGAGGGGGGGGGGAGGGGGAAAAGATTAGGAGGGTGTGATGTTCAAACTACCCATCGGAAAACGAGGAAACGCTATTTCGGACCATCTTAGACCATTATCAAGTCCTTACACGACTTGATAATGGTGTATTTTGGAGGAGGGAAGGGGGGGGGAGATGGGGGGGGGTATGTTGGAGAGGGTGTGTATGAAGGGAAACAGGAAAGGTGTGTGTAGGGCATGATAAGGGATGGTACACACAGAAATCACAATTCCGTGATGCATCAAATGAACAAATCCACAAGATTTGCTCAGTCTCAAATCGTAGCTCAGTCGATTACGGCAGCGTCTGGGATGCTCTCGGACGCAGGTTCGAATCCTCGACACGGCCCTTGTGGATTTGTTCATAAGGGATGGTGTTTGGGCGAAACCTGGACACCAGGACGACCCGGGCTCCGCCGGTTACCCCATCAACTATATTATTTACGAAAGCAAACGTCTGTATGGCAGTCTGTCTATCCACGGTTAGATGCTTGGAACTAGCTTCACACAGTTTTCCACAGTAATTCCTTTTGGGTACGTGCCCAACATGGGCTGGTAGACATTGGGATCAAAGAGAAAAAGGCCATATGGCACTATCCACGTGGCATCTCCCCCCCCCTCCCCCCAAGAAATGTTGCAATATCATTCTGGCTGAACTCTGAATAAGGGGAGCAAGCACAATTATGTGAGTACAACTAGGTGAGTACACACACACACACACACACAGTCACCGCCGGCAAGAATAATAATAATATATATAATTTAACATATCTGGTCTTTCAATTAACTACTGTCGGAGTTAAGTTTTAATGAACCCATAAATTTGAATGCAATTTAATTAAACCGCATATAACTGAAATCAGCGAGACGGCGGAACGAGCCCCACCAGTTTTATACAGAATCATTTTGTGCGCTGCGCACGTTTAAGTAATTACTGTTGTACTGAACATGTAATTCAAGATAATCTTAATATGGGAACGCCGCATCAGCAAGATATATATCTCCGTGGATGCTGGCGGTGAGCAGGGATGCTGCTAGGATGCTGCAAGGATGCTAGAAAGTACCACAGGGATCTCTTGAGGTTATCTTGAGATGATTTCGGGGCTTTTTAGTGTCCCCGCGGCCCGCTGCAAGGATGCTAGAAAGTACCACAGGAATGCTAGAAAGTACCACAGGGATGCTAGAAAGTACCACAGGGATGGGATTGTGTGGGGGAGATGCAAAGATGCTGCGGAGATGATGTAAGGAATGCTTCGGGTGTGCTGAAGGGATTCTATGGGGAAGCAACAGGAGACCTGCAAGATTCTTAAACTGATGCTTGTTGGGTGGTGTGAAGATGTTTCATAGCTGTGAACCACCGGAACAGATGACGTGGATTACACCTTTGATCTCCGCAGACGAAAGGGTCACAACTACGATCTCCGCAGACGAAAGGGTCTCAACTTCGATCTCCGCAGACGAAAGGGTCTCAACTTCGATCACCGCAGACGAAAGGGTCTCAACTTCGATCTCCGCAGACGAAAGGGTCTCAACTTCGATCTCCGCAGACGAAAGGGGCACAACTTCGATCTCCGCAGACGAAAGGGTCACAACTTCGATCTCCGCAGACGAAAGGGTCACAACTTCGATCTCCGCAGACGAAAGGGTCTCAACTTCGATCTCCGCAGACGAAAGGGGCACAACTTCGATCTCCGCAGACGAAAGGGTCTCAACTTCGATCTCCGCAGACGAAAGGGGCACAACTTCGATCTCCGCAGACGAAAGGGTCTCAACTTCGATCTCCGCAGACGAAAGGGTCTCAACTTCGATCTCCGCAGACGAAAGGGTCACAACTTCGATCTCCGCAGACGAAAGGGTCACAACTTCGATCTCCGCAGACGAAAGGGTCACAACTTCGATCTCGGCAGACGAAAGGGTCACAACTTCGATCTCGGCAGACGAAAGGGTCACAACTTCGATCTCGGCAGACGAAAGGGTCACAACTTCGATCTCCGCAGACGAAAGGGTCACAACTTCGATCTCCGCAGACGAAAGGGTCACAACTTCGATCTCCGCAGACGAAAGGGTCACAACTTCGATCTCCGCAGACGAAAGGGTCACAACTTCGATCTCGGCAGACGAAAGGGTCACAACTTCGATCTCCGCAGACGAAAGGGTCACAACTTCGATCACCGCAGACGAAAGGGTCACAACTTCGATCTCGGCAGACGAAAGGGTCACAACTTCGATCTCGGCAGACGAAAGGGTCTCAACTACGATCTCCACAGACGAAAGGGTCACAACTTCGATCTCCGCAGACGAAAGGGTCACAACTACATCTCCACAAAGAAACCACACAAACACACATCTCTATTCCACAAATCCCCCCCACCCCCCCAATCCCCCAATCCCCTATTTATTCGCTAAAACAGACAAATGAGAGGCAAGGCTCCCCTCCCCCAAACAGCACACAAACACCTTCTGAATACAGGCAAAAATACTTTGCGGGTATTTAGTGCTTAAAATGCAAGACTTCAGCCATGTGTCTGAAACAGAGTTGTAAGATCCCACATTTATCAAGATGAACTGAGCAGCTCGAGGAAGACAAAACAGAGCCACCGCCTCGTTTTAAACACACACATCAAGAGAATAAAGATGAGAAGAAAGTCAGAAAATAGGAGATCCTTGGAGGCTCCGATACAGGCGGACATTACTTTCAGTTACTTATAATTACGGGTATTTACTGAGGTGATTTAGTCACACAGTGATATTAATAGTGTGGGCTGAGTGAGGGGGAAAGGTGGGGGAGAGAGTGAGGGGAGAGTGAGGGGGGGGGGGATAGGGGAGAGGAGGAGGATGTCGTTGTTTGGTTGGATATCACCTGGGATACGTTCTCCATCCCCTCTTCACATTACTCTTCCTCTCACCTCTCCTGGGTCTCCATGGTAACCCCTTCAGATGATAGCGATGGAGGATGCTGGTGGATGCTGGTAGGGGGGGAGGGGATGCTAGGGCGGTGGATGATAGTGGCGGTGGATGATAGTGGCGGTGGATGATAGTGGCGGTGGATGATAGTGGCGGTGGATGATAGTGGCGGTGGATGCAAGTTTGGCACACGCATGCAACCACCACCAAAACAATGCCTCTATTAATCAGTCTCTATTATCACGAGTTGCAATCACCCAATCGCCATCAGTTTGATTCCATTAAATATTAATTCAGTTGGGACATCAAACTGTTGTCTGATGCGCCGTCATTATAGACCTCGGGCACAATATATATATATATATATATATATATATATATATATATATATATATATATATATATATAATGATTCTAACACGAACCTTCTCAATATTTCTTATGTTTTTCTTCACTGTCGAGGGAAGTTGAAAAATTAACTCTCCAAAGTTCATTTTCACACTATACTTATGGTCTGACGCCTAAGGGAAGCGTTTCAAAAACGCAAGGCACTCCTTACATTTTCAAAGACAAATTTTCCATAAGGCTTATATTCGCTTGAGGCGAGGTGATACAAGACAAGATTGAGATGAATATTTAGATCAATGGTATAATGGGTATTAATAGGCAATTGGGTGTCCTATATTCTTGCTTCTACTGTTTCTGTGTTGATTCGGTCTTGAAATGGGTACTTCAAGACCCACTTCAAGACCCACTTCAAGACCCACTTCAAGACCCACTTCAAGAGCCAGAGCTCAACCCCCTCAAGCACAACTGGTGAATACAACTAGATGAATACATTCATCAATTTTAACATACAGTATATTAAAAAGGGGGTCTTCCCGTGACTGTAGTCTTCAACTCCCCATTAATTGAGGTTTGGTAGGGTTAGGCCAGGATATGTGGCTCAGTGTTTAGGTTAGTTTAGGTTGGGTTATAGTGTGTTTGACTAGGTTACAGTTAGGCTGGGTTAAAGTTAGGTTGGGTTACAGTTAGACTGGGTTACAGTTAGGCTGGGTTACAGTTAGGTTAGGGTGAAGTTAGGCTAGGTTAAAGTTAGGCTAGGTTAAAGTTAGGCTGGGTTACAGTTAGGCTGGGTTACAGTTAGGCTGGGTTACAGTTAGGCTGGGTTACAGTTAGGCTGGGTTACAGTTAGGCTAGGTTACAGTTAGGCTAGGTTACAGTTAGGCTAGGTTACAGTTAGGCTGGGTTACAGTTAGGCTGGGTTACAGTTAGGCTGGGTTACAGTTAGGCTAGATTAAAGTTAGGCTAGATTAAAGTTAGGCTAGGTTAAAGTTAGGCTAGGTTAAAGTTAGGCTAGGTTAAAGTTAGGCTAGGTTAAAGTTAGGCTAGGTTAAAGTTAGGCTAGGTTAAAGTTAGGCTAGGTTAAAGTTAGGCTAGGTTAAAGTTAGGCTAGGTTAAAGTTAGGCTAGGTTAAAGTTAGGCTAGGTTAAAGTTAGGCTAGGTTAAAGTTAGGCTAGGTTAAAGTTAGGCTAGGTTAAAGTTAGGCTAGGTTAAAGTTAGACTAGGTTAAAGTTTGGCTAGGTTAAAGTTTGGCTAGGTTAAAGTTAGGCTAGGTTAAAGTTAGGCTAGATTAAAGTTAGGCTAGGTTAAAGTTAGGCTAGATTAAAGTTAGGCTAGATTAAAGTTAGGCTAGATTAAAGTTAGGCTAGATTAAAGTTAGGCTAGATTAAAGTTAGGCTAGATTAAAGTTAGGCTAGGTTAAAGTTAGGCTAGGTTAAAGTTAGGCTAGATTAAAGTTAGGCTAGGTTAAAGTTAGGCTAGATTAAAGTTAGGCTAGGTTAAAGTTAGGCTAGGTTAAAGTTAGGCTAGATTAAAGTTAGGCTAGGTTAAAGTTAGGCTAGATTAAAGTTAGGCTAGGTTAAAGTTAGGCTAGGTTAAAGTTAGGCTAGGTTAAAGTTAGGCTAGGTTAAAGTTAGGCTAGGTTAAAGTTAGGCTAGGTTAAAGTTAGGCTAGGTTAAAGTTAGGCTAGGTTAAAGTTAGGCTAGGTTAAAGTTAGGCTAGGTTAAAGTTAGGCTAGATTAAAGTTAGGCTAGATTAAAGTTAGGCTAGATTAAAGTTAGGCTAGATTAAAGTTAGGCTAGATTAAAGTTAGGCTAGATTAAAGTTAGGCTAGATTAAAGTTAGGCTAGATTAAAGTTAGGCTAGGTTAAAGTTAGGCTAGGTTAAAGTTAGGCTAGGTTAAAGTTAGGCTAGGTTAAAGTTAGGCTAGGTTAAAGTTAGGCTAGATTAAAGTTAGGCTAGGTTAAAGTTAGGCTAGATTAAAGTTAGGCTAGGTTAAAGTTAGGCTAGGTTAAAGTTAGGCTAGGTTAAAGTTAGGCTAGATTAAAGTTAGGCTAGATTAAAGTTAGGCTAGGTTAAAGTTAGGCTAGATTAAAGTTAGGCTAGATTAAAGTTAGGCTAGATTAAAGCTAGGCTAGATTAAAACTAGGCTAGGTTAAAACTAGGCTAGGTTAAAGTTAGGCTAGATTAAAGTTAGGCTAGGTTAAAGTTAGGCTAGATTAAAGTTAGGCTAAGTGGTGTTGCGTTTGGTGTCTGCGGTAGTTGGTAAAATAGAGTTGAATGGCCTAATGAGAGAGAAGATTATGAAATGCGTGTCGATAGTCGGAGGGTGCATGAAGATAAGAAACAAAGGGTGAGTGATTTAAGGGAGGAGAGAAAGGGTGCTGCTGGGAGAGGTGAGGGGGGAGGAAGAGGAGGAGGGATAGATGACGAGGGTGATAGGTGGAAGGTAGGGTGAGTGGGGGTTGCAAGTATGAAGGGATGTAGGATAGGATTGGGGAGGGATAGCAGCTTGAGCACGTAGGATAGGGAAAGATTGCAGGAAGAACACCTGGTGCAAATGTGAGGAGGGGGGATAGAGAGGCAGAGAAGGGTGGTGGGGGGGGATGGGTAGGGAAGATGGGGGATTGAAGGCAGAGGACTGAGGATAGGGGAGCAGGATCTTCAGACCGCCTGAAGCAGTTACTAATAATCGAACAAGTCTGAATAAACGCGAGAACAGTGTTAAGAACCACGAGCAGTAATTACCCGGATGATTAAATCCCTCCTCATTAGTAACCATCTGGAAAGAGCCATTGGGGAAGGATCGGCAGCAAGACACGTGCATCCCACACCTGTAGGCGAAGGTGAAATCCCTCTTGACCCACTGTAAGGTTTCCGACCGTATGAGATTTGATATTTATGCCCTTCGAATATTCGGGGAATTCACTTGTAGCGTTTCAAAAGATTTCTATACAAAGAAATATGTTTATACAGGATAATTTGTTTACTGTAAAAATATATATACTCTATACATTAAATGTGTATATACTATCTGTATTTAGTATTTGTATCTGCAGAATCGAGCTATTAGCTCTTGGATCCTGCCTTTTTAACCAATTTATTTTTCCTCTGTTATGAATATTTCATATAGTTCTCTTACACACACACACACACACACACACACACACACACACACACATAATATCACCACATTCAAAATTCTCAAGGGAATCGATAGGGTAGATAAAGAGAGGCTATTTAACACAAGGGGAACACGCACAAGGGGACACAGGTGGAAACTGAGTGCCCAAATGAGCCACAGAGATATTAGAAAGAACTTTTTTAGTGTCAGAGTGGTTGACAAATGGAATGCATTAAGGAAGTGATGTGGTGGAGGCTGACTCCATACACAGTTTCAAGTGTAGATATGATAGTCCAATAGGCTCAGGAACCTGTACACCTGTTGATTGACGGTTGAGAGGCGGGACCAAAGAGCCAGAGCTCAACCTCCGCAAACACAACTAGGTGAGTACAACTAGATGAGTACACACACACACACACACACATCCCCAGGAAGCAGCCCATAGCAACTAACTCACAGGTACTTATTTACTGCTAGGTGAACAGGCGCACCAAGGTGAAAGAAAATGTGCCCATTTTGTTTCTGCATATTGTATGGGTAGTGTCATAGGGGAGACGGGGGTTGGAGTAGGCTCCCAACCCCCCAAACCCCCAAAAAGTAGGATTGGCTCCTATTGCGAAAACCTGCGACTCCGATGATGTCTGAAAAGTGGTTTTAATTGTCCATAGAGTGTTTAATTTTTTTTTTTTTTTTTACAGCTGTTCGAATCCCCCACAATGTAACCACAATGTTTTTACAACTTTGTATTTAACATTAGTAAAAATAATTGTATGGTCACGTTACTTATGGCAGGACGAATATACTGATTGTTGTGAGAGGGAGAGGGAGGGATATAGGGAGGGAGGGTGAATGGAAGGGAAAGAGAGAGAGAGAGAAACAAACAAGGCGACCCGGGAACTGCCGGCTAACCCAACTAATCTGTAAACTTACAAAAT